CCTCCTCTTCTTCCTCTTCCTCTTCTTTCTTCTTCTTCATCTTCCTCCTCCTCTTCTTTCTTCTTCTTCTTCTTCCTCCTCCTCCTCCTCCTCTTCTTCCTCTTCCTTCTTTCTTCTTCCACCTTCTCTTCTTCTTCCTTTTCTTCTTCCACTTCCTCCTCTTCGTCTTCTCCTCTTCCTCCTCTTCTTCCTTCTTTCTTTCTTCTTCCTCCTCCCTCCTCCTTCCTCTTCTTCCTTCTTTCTTTTTTCTTCCTCCTCCCTCCTCCTCTTCCTTCTTCTTCATCTTCCTCCTCCTCTTCTTTCTTCTTCCTCTTCCTCCTTCTTTCTTCTTCTTCCTCCTCTTCCTCCTCCTCCTCTTCCACTTCTTCCTCTTCATCTTCTCCTCTTCCTCTTCTTCCTTCTTCCTCCTCTCTTCTCCTCTTCCTCCTCCTCTTCTTCGTCTTCCACTTCCTCCTCTCCTCCTCCTCCTTTCCTCCTTCCTCAAAGAAAAAAACAACCCAGTTGCCTTTCTGAAGAAAAAAGCACCACCTTTGAGACCCCCTTTGGTGAATCTTGGGTGGGTCTGGTTTTACATTGCACCGGAGTCTTTCTTAAGAGCCGTTAAGACGTCTAGGATCTTGTGAAAATTCACAGCTCCCCTACCCGAGAGCTGCCATTAACTCAACTCTTGGCCTGCGTGCTAAAACTAGGGGTGTTTATGGGATGTGGTCAAAGTTAGTATGGTCAGCCATGACGTTGCCTTTGCATTATCCCTTCCTGGTCCATTCCTTGCCCCGTTGCCCCCACTTTATTATTGTGCATTGCAAGGGGCAGGGCTTCAATTATATGGCTGTGGCTGGTTTTTTTGTGTGTGTTTTTGGCCACAGGGGAGTCAAAAGACATCTCTCTTCCATTTCTTTCTCCACAACACCAACCCACTTCGATGTGTGTTGCGCTGAGAGAGAGAGAGAGAGGCACAAAGTCACACTGTGAGTTTCGATGGCCAGCTGGGACCTGAGTATAAAAGACATCGAGACGTGGCCGGATATCAGCAGATATGGAAAACATTTTCAGAACATTTTTGTTTGTTTGTTTGCTTGCAGCTGCGGATTAAGGGGTTAAAAGGTTCCGATTTCAGTGTGGTCCTGAAAACCACTAGCAGCGCCCTTCTTTCCCCACCCTACCCCAAACAGGAAAAAATTAGTCCAATTATTTGGAGGAGGGAGGGAGGGGTGGAGGATGTTATTATCGCTATAATTTAGTTATGGCCAGCAACCAGCTGGCAGCACAAATAATGCAAAGCTACAGGAGGAAACCATAAAACTTTTACGGCGGTCGTTTGCAAAGCAGTGTGGCGCAATAGGAATACGAAGGAGGAATGCAAAGGTGACCCAGAGGTGCAAAGGTGACCCTTTATTTCCCCCCAGGAGGCCACTGGACTTTCTTGGTTGTTTTTCTTTTTTTTCTTTTAAAGACATTTCACTTCTCATCCAAGAAGCTTGGGTGATTTTTTTCCTCCCCCCAGATTTTGTTGTATTGTACTTTATTAATTTATTTGATTCTTTTTGTTAGTTTTCACTGTTTTTTTTAAAAGATGGTTTTACATTTTGTAAGCCACCTCAAGTCGCCATGGGCGAATAGGCAGCAATATAAATTCAATAAATAAATAAATAAAAACAGGTTATGAAACCTCCTGAACAGAAGGCCGAATGTCAGAACAAAGCGAGGCTTGTTTCAAAGCAACAAGGCTGACATGTTTGGAAGCCAGCACAATTTTTTACCATCTTTTTTAAAAAAAATGAAATTAAAATCCCACAAATTCAGGCAAAACTAGGATCGGCATAGCAATCACGTACACTTACGTTGCCTGATTCAATCTCTTGGCACCGTAAAAAACAAACTAACCTGGAGGAAGTCTGTAAATTGGGGCAGGAATTCAACCCCAACCAGTTATCTGGATCATTTCTGAAGCCAGCCACATTTTTAAAAAGGTCTGAGAAAAATTGCACGAGGCAGATTTTCTGGGAAAGAAACTAATGTCACGGGTCCGTAGAATCAGGGATGGGTTAAGAGTTGGAATACCTCTCCTTAGCCAACGCAGGAATCCATATTGAATGTTACTGCAGATAATGCTCAGACTCTCAGTGAAGGAGGAAAAAAATTGAAATAAATGCCACCTCCACAGACATTTGTTCCATCTTTCGACAGTAGGACATTGTTCCTGAGGTCCAACTGAATCCTACTTCCTTGTTTCTTTCAACCCACTGCTTCAGTCACAGTCCAGGGACATGCTGTTGCCCCCAGAAATGTTCGCCCCACCTCAGGGTGAAAAGCTTGTGTTTCCAACACAACCGGGTCAGTTAATATCCAAGAACTTGGATTGTAGTGTTTCCAATTCTGTCGGTTTTCTAAATGTACATTTGGAACACCTTCGGGAAACCAAAACTGATCCTTAGCTTCGAGGACCTGTTTTTTTGTTCCTTATGGTCGACCTCATCCGATTCCTGGAGACTTGATATGTCCGGCAGTTTTCTAGGCGAGGAATTTCAGGAGTGTTTGGCCATTGCCTCCTTCCCAGGGCTGAGAGTGGGTGACTGTCCCAGGGTCATCCAGCTGGTTTTGTGCCTAAGGTGGAACTAGAACTCACTGGTTTCTAGCTTGATTCCTTAACCGCTATTATACCAAAATGGCTCTCAAAAAAAAAAAAAAGGACCTTACAAAATGTGAAAACAGTGTGGGCTAAATGTAGGGATTGCAAATTTACTCCCTGCAGAATCTCAGTTGTGCTCCTGGCATGACCGCAAAGGCACGGGAGGAGAAAAAAAATCTGGGATTAAATAGCTATCCAGGGCTGCTTTGCAGGGTGAAAATGGGCCGCATATAAATTTAAATGTAAATGCCTACATGTATACATACCTGCTTGGTTTGGCTGCCAGGTGCATACCTGGTTGTGGTTTTAAGAAAGAACACCTTCGCTGCTGGAGAGTTATGTTTTTTAGCATTGCTGGAAACACCAAGAAAGTCCAGCATTCTTCTTGTGCCTCCAAAAGCAATGTTTTTCAACCTTGACATATTTAAGATGGGTGGACTTCAGCTCCCAGAATTCCTCAGCCAGGAATGCTTGTGATTGGTGGACCAATTCCCAGAATTCCTCAGCAAGGAATGCTTGTGACTGGCGGACCAACTTCCAGAATTCCTCAGCCAGGAATGCTTGTAACTGGCAGACTTCGACTCCCAGAATTCCTCAGCCAGCTAGGAATTCTGGGAGTTGAAGTCCACCAGTCAGAAAAGGGCCATGATTCCCCACCCTTTGCTCTAAGGGGGCGTTTGAGGCCCTCAATACCTTCCAATTCCCCTCCCTTCACCTCCAAAACTGAAAAAATAAAAACAAATCTCGCATTATGGACCCATTTTGTTCCGGTTGGCTGGGAGGGAGCTTACAAATACTTCGTCGGAGTAAATGAGGAAGCCATGGCCTGGCCTTGGGAGCATGTTTGCAAATGGCAGAGGGAACGGAAAGTACGCAGGGGGTGTGTTTCTTTCACTGCACACCAGCACACACCAACCACACTTCCGTTTCTTGGCCGGCTGCTGCAAATTCTTCATGGACTGAGTCAGAGCCAAGGGTCTCTGGCCGGCCCGCTCGCGCTCCTTCCCAATCCCACGTGCTGCAGGGTGGGCTTTGTGCCACCAGCTGGGGTGGGGGAGTAATGTGCCATTAGCCACAGACAGCTGGAAACTGAAACTGCAGCTGCCAGGGCTTTGGTCTATTCCAAGGCTGAATCAGAATATGTGTTGCCTGGAGCAGAATATATTCCAAATGGCACCCAGCACAAACATATGTTAACACAGACACACACACACACATTCTGATTAGGACACTTGTTCACCTGTGCAGCGGAGGGGACGAGGGTTGTGCAAGAGATCTTCCTTAGCCTGGTGCTCGGGGAGCGGGGTGTTCGCCCCTATCCCCTTTCCTGGCCTTTTGTGCCCTCCCCCCAAATGCTCAACAGGCTGGCTCTGATGTCCCCTCCCCCCTTTTTTGCATGCGATCAGTGCAAGGTGTGGAGCGGGTGGGCAGGAGGAATTATTTCAGTGGCAGGTTCCTCTTACTCCCCCCCCCCCCCGGGATGTTTAGCTGAATATGGGGTGGGTGGGGAATACGACTGGGTGGGCGTGGCTATGTGGTCATGTGACAGGGGGAGTGTCAAAACTAACTTTCTGGAGCAGAGGGTTGGACTATATGACCTCCAGTTACCTTCCAGCACTCGATTGCTGTCCTGTTTCAAAGCATTCTCTGAAGCTGCATCTAGTGCCAAGGTTTGTGGTCCTTCCTTCCTCTCCTTTTCCCCTCCCTTCCTCCTTTTCTTTCTTTTTTTTCTTTCTCTTTCTTTCTTTCTCCCCTCCCTTCCTTTCTTTCTCCCCTCCCTCCCTCCTTCTTTTTCTTTTTTTCTTTTGCATCAACCCCCCCCCCCCCGTCACCCGTTTTTGGCCTAGTGGGCCTTAGGGAAGCCGCTGAAAAAAGAAGCATTTTGAAGCAAAAAAGGGAGATTATCTGTGCCGCACGATTTAGATTAGCTAGAAACCAAGAAATCTGACGATTTCCTGCTTTCTAGCTAATCTAAATTGCGTGGCACAGCTGATCGTCGCCCAGCTGATCATTGGAAATACCGATTCGGCCAAACCAGTAGCATTTTTTTTTACTACCGGTTCAGTTGAACCGGGCTGAACCGGTAGAATACCACCATTGGAGTGTGTCTAACTCAAAGCTCTGGAGGCCGCGCAGGAAACTACCTGCTAGTGGGTTAATTGGAGCCAGCTTTGCGACAGCAGCTCCTGCCACTTGACGTAGGTTTGGGCAGCCAGGTTCTTCAGCTTGGTCCGGTAGAGGAGAGCGGGGTTCTCGCGGAGGCTGCTGCTGATGTGCCGCTGCACCTGGAGGCAAAGTTGCTGGAGGTGGCCCTGGGGAGGGTGCAGGAGGAAAGAAAGAAGGGCAAAGATGAACCATGTAAGGATTCGTCGAGTAGCAACAGAGAACGCGGCAACTAACCTGGAACTGGATATAACGTGTTGCATTTCAGGATATGGAGAAGGATGCCATCTGTGCCAGCGTGGTGAGGCAGTCCAGACAGGAAGTCCACCCAGATGAACTAATTCTACTTTATTTTAAGGTTACATAGACAGAATCTTGCAAACCCGAAAATATTTCTCTCCCATCTCCCACCTTTACAGTCCAAGCAACTAGGGAGGGTCTCTTGTGAGAAGTTTGCCAGGCTCCCATTCCTTCTGTGGACACAGCTGCCCTTGTCTGCCCTTATGCAGCTCTTCCTCCTGTCTCCCAAGGTCACTCCCACATTCCACTACAATCTGACACACACACACACACACGTCTCCCACCTCCCACCTGAGACCTCTAGATGTAACAGGCTACAACTCCCAGAATTCCTAGCCAGCACAGCTGGCTTAAGTCAGAGAGAAGCATGTGTTTGATACCTCGCTTGCAAAGTGAAACGATGCACAAATTAAGGCGGATACTGTATATGCGTTCCAGGTTCACGTTGCAGGATCCAATGTGGGTCGGTCACCAGGACCACAGGTTCTGTCTTCCAAGCCTTCGGAGTGGTACTGGAGCCCATCTTCAGGGAAATTCTCTCTAGCAGAGTATGCGTCCGCTAGAGAGATGTTTCCTGAAGATGGACTCCTCCAGTATGAATCTGAAACCTCAGAAGACAAAATCTCTGGTCCAGATGACCGATCCAGATTGGATCCTGAAACAAGACAAAACAGAAATATTTGTGGTTCGGTTTGACTAGCTATAAAGAGTGGCTGAACTACATGTTATACCAGAAGTCTCCAACCTTGGCAACTTCAAGACTTGTGGACTTCAACTCCCAGAATTCTCCAGCCAGCATAGCATAGTTGGCCGAGGAATTCAGAGAGTTGAAGTCCACAGGTCTTAAAGTTGCCAAGGTTGGAGACCCCTGGGTTATACACATCGCTCCAGTGGTGGGATTCAAAAGTTCCCACCACCAGTGCTGTGGGCGTGGCTTGGTGGGCGTGGCTGCAGAGGGGTTGCACGACTCGTGTGACTTGCGCAAGCAAACGCGTGCCAAATGTATGCTGTGCACATGCATTACAACAGTAAAAACCAAGCTACTGCGCCTCTCAGCTGTTTAGCACAGCAATCCACTCCTCCACACCAAACAGCTGAGAGGTTAAAAAGGACCTAGGAGCAGCTGATCTTTGGCACTACCGGTACGCCAGAACCGGGCCAAACCGGTAGAATACCACCACTGCATCACTCCATTCACTCAACATGCAGGGCTTAGTAACTGAATTAACTCATTTTCTGGGTTGAACTTGCACAACAGGCCAAGTCACAAAACCCTTAATTAAGCATGCAATTAATTTACATTTGTGCTGTGATTCTAATTGCTATTGTTTTCCAGACCCGGCTAAATGCATTGTAAGGCCTTAAGTAAGGGAACTGCAGAAATATTTGTATCTTACATCGTTCTGGACCCCTCCAGTTTCACTTTCTCCTTTTTTGAATTTTACTTATTAAAGCCGTGCAGCCTTCCCTCTCACACCTGTGACTCTGGATGGTGCGCACACCATTAGACAGTCCTGTTTCAACAAACATGTGGGAAACACGTGGGAGAGCATTTTCCTTAACACCTCCACTATTTCTTTCTAAAAGATGGGTCGTATTATCTATCTTTGTGTTCACACAATTGAGGATGCCCTAAACCAGGGGTGTCATGCCCGTTGGAATCTGACTCAGAGGAGGAAGCCAAACAGCTGACAGAGAGTGGGAGTGTGGCTCCAGTGGCTGTGGAAGAAACTGGGGAAGGGCAAAGTCCGGCTGGGCAGAGCAGGAGAGAGGTAGAACAAGGGAGAGGGAGTTCAGAGGAAGACCAGGGCCACCCCCTCTTCATCCTAGGGCATGCAGGGAGGAATGGAGAAGGGAGCAATGTGGGTTGCGTGGCTTACAGGGGAGGAAAGGGCCCTGATTCCCTCCATTAGCTGCAGCTGGGAACACAGTGTTTAAAAAGGGAGTTTGTGCACAGCAACTCATAAGAAGCAAATTGTGAGTTATCTTTTATGGTCGAAGCTTATCTGGGTTCCTGGCGTCTTCCCAACTGTGTGTGTTTTGTTGCCCTTTGCAGTCCGCAATTCCTTATCCTGCCCTGTCCAGTTAATTGCTGCAGCGTCAATTTTTTGTGTCAGTTTTTTATTTACAGTTTATACGTACTTTGTTTTCAGATTGATGAATTTCCTTCACTTAAAGACTGTTCTTGGGAGAGTTTTTTTCTCCAGCCGAAGGTAACTGGACACTGGGGGCAAAGTTGGAGGTATTAAAGGGACTTTTCTTACTCATGTGACTGTGTTGCCTTTGTGCCACGCCCCAGGTAATCACAACGGATCCCCAAACTTGGCAACTTTAACACTTGTGGACTTCAACTCCCAGAATTCTCCAGCCAGCACAGTCCACAAGTCTTAAAAGTTGCCAAGTTTGGAGACCTCTGCCCTAAACCTATGTTAATAAGGCATCATTGTGCAAAGCCCAAATAAACCACATGCCGCCTTCATGCAATGGCCTGGCACACATCAACTAATGTGCTAATGTGCTGGTTGGCTTCCCAGAATGCGCTGAGTGTGCTGAGCCACAAACTGCCCCAGCCCTGTTTGGGTCTAGACCAACATTTCCTGCGAGAGCCCTCCGCTAAGCACCTCTTAGTCATTAATTGCAAAGTACAACTCCACATCAATTTTGCACCTTCCCCAGACCCACAGATGCCCTGAGCCAGCATTTCTCCACTTCAGTGAGTTGTACAAGGCAAGCTGGCTCCAGTGGAGCTGTGAAAGGGAAATTTATGCTGCCCGCAAAATTGAGCCGCTGCCAGGGTAAATGTCACACACCGTGTACGTATTATTCCAATGTATGGAAAATCATACATACATATATTTTCCTCATGTGAGATTTGCTGTCTATGTTTGGTCTGAACGCAGCCTTTTATTTTCCGAAGCTAGTTTTCTTGCTCTTCCTGACCCTGGTCCCCATCTCACCTGCTCTCTTGGAGATGCTGGCTTGGTTCCCACAACCACGTTGGCTAATACCAGGAGGTTGTAGCAAAGGTAACAGGCCTGCAAGGAAGAGAGAAAGATATTGGATAAGCAGAGAAGCAGATGCTCCTGCGGACTTCATATCTCCCTCCCAATAATCATCTAAGGCAAGGATCTTCAAACTTGGCTTGTGGACTTCAATTCCCAGAATTCCTGAACTAACATGACCAGAGGAGGAATTCTGGGAGTTGAAGCCCACAGGTCTTAAAGCTGTCAAGTTTGGAGACCTCTGATCTAAGGAGACAGAGCAGGTCCTCCATATCTCATTTCTGGCATCCAACATCTTCGGTTAGAATTAGAATTAGAAGAACTTTATTGTCATTGTACAAGTACAACGAAACTGTGGGTGCACCCCAGCAACTGTTCGCAATACAATAAAACCAAAGCACTTAAAAATGAAGATAAGAAAGATAGAGTACCCACGTCTCCATTTGCAATTTGAGAGTACAATATCTATGAATATACACAAAATATACATCCAACACTGACTGTAACGCTTAGCCGAGTATAATACACAAGCGATGGATTATACTGTAATATGTTATTATACATCTGAATGGGGTATTGAGATTTCACATCTTTTCACATCTTAATGAGGTAGTGACTTCGTGTTTATTTGCGGTTCGGATGGCCCAGGGAAAGAAACTATTTGTTAGTCTAGTGGTGTGGGATTTTATTGACCTAAAACGCCGTCCAGACGGCACCAGGTCAAAAAGATAATTGCCAGGGTGTGAGGGGTCTTCGGCTCTTCCCAGCCATCCTTGGACCACAGGAGGGTAAAATGGAATACCAGCTGGATGGCAGCCAGCTATTCCTTGGCCCACTTCTTCTGGACAGCACCCCGTCAGTGGCTTACTCTGAAGGCCCAAGAAAAGCCTAGGAAAGAACCGGCTTGGTGTTCAGGTAAACCAACTTTGGAGTAGGTTGAAACTCTTGGGGCAATTTTTTTTCCACCCAAGAGTGTAAATCTTTTTGGACCATAGACCATGCTTTCTGTAGGTGCCAACTCTGGTGTGTGTGTGTGTGTGTGTGTGTGTGTGTGTGTGTGTGTGTGCATGGGGGTGGGGAGGTAGAGGGGGTCTGCATCCAGGCCAGGGACATGAGCCTTTGCAGGAAGCAACTTTCTTCGTTCTGGTCAGTTTAAACTCTGAAGCTCCGTGCTGACTTTGTCCTCCGTTTGGCCTTGTACAGCTAATTGGTCTTTCACACACACACACACACACACACACACACACACACACACCAGGACTGGGAGGCTTCCCCAATTTAATGACTGCACAAATTGTACACCAGCAGATCTATGCAGATGAATAACTTCATGCTTAAAAAAAAGAAATTAAAAATAATAATTAAAAATGGTAGAAAACCCCATGCGAATAGAGGGGCGTCAAAAAACTCTAGGCCCAAACAGTGGAGTCCAGATGCTAGGAGGTGTGTATGTGTGTTCACAGCCTGGTAGTTCAAAGGATGGGGCATGGGCTATGCTCTCCAACGTTATCCTCTCCTGCACACAAACTTTCCTATCACCCTGGGCTGAATCATGGGGCATAGCTATTCCATTTCTCAACAGACCAGTTTTTAATTTTAATTATCACTACACAGGTCGGTTTACGTTAACTCTAATCCCAAGAAGGCTATCCCAGATCCTAAGTGTTCAGTTCAGTCATGAAGAAATAATATTTTTCTCTCTCTAATGGAGTGGAACAAAAATTAACACTTGCTGTCAACAGATTTATAGCCATTCACAAACTGAGTATTTTGAGGTTGGTGTTTCTTTCTTTTTTAAATATATGTGTTCTATACACATTTGCTTCATTCTCTGGAAAAATTCTTACTATATATAGAGAGAGTAAGAATTTTTCCAGAGAATGAAACATAAATATTTAAATTATCTATCTATCTATTTATTATCTATCTATCTATCTATCTATCTATCTATCTATCTATCTATCTATCTATCTATCTATCTATCATCTACCTACCTATCTGTCAATCATCTATCTATCTATCTATCTATCTATCTATCTATCTATCTATCTATCATCTATTGTAAAAGATTTTTTCCAGAAAATCAAACATCAAAAGACAGGATGAAAAGGAAGGATAGATGGATGGAAGGAAGGAAGGACAGGAAGAAGAGAGGAAAGCAGGAGGAAAACAGGAAAGGAAGGAAGGAAGAAAAAGAGGAGTGAAGGAAGGGAGGGAGGAAAGAGGGAAGGAAGGAAGGAAGGAAGGAAGGAAGGAAGGAAGGAAGGAAGGA